CCGCTGCTGCTTTTCTTTAGCCCAGCAATCCAAGGAGGGGAAATGGTGTCGGTCTCTGGATGCAAAGTCCTCTCGGGGGACAGGAGGGAGCAGGAACGCTCCTTCCTCCGCTCTCGGCAGCATAAAAATTGCAAACGCATGCTGGGAGTCCAAAGCTCGGAGACACCCTTTAAACCTGGGGTGTCTGAGTGCCTGTGAGGTGTTGGCGCTTGGGGTTGGAGGGGAGTAGCTCTGGAGCTCTGCTCTGCACAGGGCACGTTGCTCTTTGGGGCTCTGCTCTGCCTGGTGGAGGTTGCTTCCTCTGCTATCTTTTTATCAGAGGTGGAAATTACAGTTGTTTACTCATCTCAAGTGAGGACCAGGATGAGCTGCATTACCAGGATACTGACTCGGATGTGCCGGAGCAGCGGGACGGCAGATGCAAAGTCAAGTGGACTCAAGAAGAGGTGAGTGAGAGCTCAGCACTTGCTGAGAGCGGGTGCTTTGGGTAGGTCTCTGACATGGCACCCGTGGCTTGGGTGCCTCCACCCCAGTCCTCACCTGCAGGCTGTGACACCACCTCCTGCTATCTTGCTGCTGGAGAAGACCATGTGTCTGTTTTGCTGATGTGAGCTGAGGTCTTAAGGGGGCTGGGAGGTTTAGGGGAGTTTGGAGTGTCGTCTGGAGAGCAAGAGCTCCAGTTTAGCTCAAGCATGTGAGCCCTGAGTGAGGTGTCTGCTGCCTGCCACACTCTTGTGAGCAAAGAGGCATTCTGGAGGATGGCTGAGGCCTCCAGCAGGCTGAGTTGCTCAGTGGAAATGTCCTCTCTTTTCTCGAGCAAAAGCAGGGAATGTTGTGACTGGATCATGGCTTAGTCATCCTGGCCGAAGGCCTGAAATTAGCTGGGATATTCTCTTCATTCCCATCAGTTCCTCCATCATTTTTATTTTGTGTGAAAGCTACAACATGTCCTGTCTCTCCTGGAGACTGAACACCAAATAAGGTGGTCTTTGTGGAGAGTTCAAAGCCTTGGGATCATGTTGGGCTGCACATTATTTCATGCCTGTTTGCCCAGCCAGAGCATGCAGGCAAGGACACCCACAGCAGGTTTAATGTGAGCTCTAAGCATAAGCACACCTGGGCTACAGCAGGGGTCGTGAAAGAAATGCTGTAGTGCCCTGTAGCACTGAAAGACAGTAGCCCAGCAGGCTAGTGGTGATCTGCTTAAACCAGTTGTGTTGGCCACAGGGTTTGAACTGGAAGAGAGCTGAGCTCATGCTGATACAGAGCTCGGAATCAAACAGACTGTTCCAGCTGGGCCCCATGTGCTGAAGCACTGCTGAAGGATAGTGTGAGGTACCTTCCTTCCCTGAATGCAAAATGCCAGAAAAAAACCCCTTCTTGACAGTGCAAAATACAGCTTGTGTTCTTGATGCCCTCAGTCCAGGGGTGCCTGTGATGTGTATTTCCTCAGTGTATCTGAAAGTGGATGTCTTTGTTCTTTGCAGGATGAGCAGCTGAAGATGTTAGTAAGCCATTACGGGCAGAATGACTGGAAGTTCCTGGCCAGCCACTTTCCTGTAAGTGACCCCTTGCCCAGCTGGGAATCAGAGTGTTTGCATATTGCTTCTCGTACTTGTTGTGCTGGTTCTTTGTGTCTGTGCAGCACCTTGCATGGGGGAGACTCTGTTCTATGATTGTGAAAAGGTGCTCCTTTGGGACAGGGAGACGTCCTTCTTGTATAGATGATTTTCAAGGGCAACTCTGTTGGAACTGGGGCGAGAAACTGAGGTTGCTGTCCCTGCAGCAAGTGCCCGAGTCATAGTGTGTATCCTCTGTGTGCATCTGCAAGGTTTCTGTGGGACAGCCTATGTGTGTGGGTACTGCCATTGTTACGGGGGCTTTTGGAGCCTCTAACACGTGGGTATTCTCAATCCTTTTCCTAGAACCGCAGCGATCAGCAGTGTCAGTACCGGTGGCTGCGAGTGTTGAATCCAGACTTGGTTAAGGGCCCTTGGACCAAAGAGGAGGACCAAAAGGTAAGTCGAGGGCTGAGAGGATCTGAGTGTTGGGCTGTTAGTGCCTGCAGAGAGGATGGAGTTCTCAGACCATCGGGTCTTTTTGTAAACTGTGGGTAACTCTTTCCAGTGGTGGATACCAGTGAGAGCCTATTGCAAGCAGGAACCCATGGTCATGATGTGCAGGAGCAAATCTAGGCCTCTTCAGCTGAACTTCTCCCTTTCACACAGTACTGCTACAGTGGGTTGCCAAGGGAGAGAGCAGAAAAGGGAATTTATTTGTCTGCCTGCTGGCAGATCACTGCCTGACCTGGCTATGTTGAACTGAAGAGAAAATAAAGCTGGTATTTCCTGTGCCACAGCAGACAGACCGAAGTGGGTGTTTGAAGTCAGCTGGGTGAAGCTTGATTTCTGCCAGCCTGTTTGTCTGCTGATTCCAGAGTGAGCTGGGACAGGCCATGCTTAAGAAAAGTTTGAAAGCTTAAGAAAAGTTGGAATGAATTCCAACTTTTCATAGAACCATAGAATGGTTAAGGTTGGAAGGGACTTTCAAGATCATCTAGTTCCAACCCCCCTGCTGTGGGCAGGGACACCTCTCCCACTAGCCCAGGTTGCTATCCAAGGTTTTCTGCTGCAGTCTCTAGATTCTCTGTAATGCTTCTTGCTCCTCTGTTTCTTTCCTTTTTGATCCCGTTACAGGCTGTTATGGTCCCTGTTGCCTCCCATCTCTGTGTTATGTCAAGCACATCCTAAGGAAGCTTCTCATGATGTGCTTCCAGCTTCCTACAGCAGAACAGCTGCTGCCTCTTTTCCCCTTCCCTTTGCATGTTATGACTTTGCCGTCCTACCCAGGCTGAGCTCTGGCTTTCTTCTTCTGACACTGCATGTTGCTTTGCCCTTTAAGCACTCCAGCTCCTTGGCCTATTCCTCAGTCTGGTGTCTTTAGTCCGTATGTGCTTGATAATCGAGAGCCTGTAGTAGGGACACCTGTTATGGGCCAAGAGCACTGTGAGCATCACTTGTCTGTCCTTTCAGCTACCCTCCAGCTGGCTGTCTTTCATCACCCTCCAGCTGAGTGCAGCTGACCAGCCTAGAAATGCTCTCTGAGAACCCTTCATCTACCTCTAAGATTTTGGTGGGCTAAACCTTACAAGCAGTAGATTGTTGCATCCTGACTGTGCTGTGGACATATCTCAGGGGCTCAGAACAGATTTTGTTCCTAGAAGTGTTTGCATTGAGCCTCAGGCAGATGTGAAAAAGCCCTGGGTGAAGCGGTAGTAGCAAAGTGAATGGCTTTTAAGTGAATATGTTTGGTGTTTTTTTTATGCTTTGGAGCTCTCACTGTGTGTTCTGGTGCTAGCGGGGCATGAAGCTGCAGCTCTGGCATGTCCTTGGTGTGGCACACTCTTAAAGGGAGGCTGTGCCCAGCGGGCAGACCAGTGCAGAGCTGATGGGGACTGTTATCCTGTGGCCAGGTCCTTGGTAGGAGGGAGGGAAGAGGAGTCTGTGGATGTGGGATTTGGCCCTTGCTCAGAAATGGGCCTGTGTTTCTAAATCTGGGCCCTTCTGCCCTTAGTGCACCTGCCAGTGTCCAGCCCATGTTCTGTGAGTTCTGTGAGTGGTCACCTGCATTCACAGGTGTCATGTGGCAAAATGTCTGCATGGCAAGAACCTCTTTCAGAAATTTGTGTGAACTGGTGCTCTCCAAGTGCTGATACACCTCATGATCAGTGCTGGATCCCCCTCCAGCTTTTTCTCCTAAGATGGCCTTTCCCTGTCTGCCATTACCTGGTCCCAAGAGAAGTGAAGAGCAAAGCCTGAAGATGTTTGTTGACCGTCCCCTCCTTTATTCTGTTTCCTTATTTCCCTTCTGCTCTCTTCAAAGGTAATTGAGCTGGTTAAAAAATATGGCACCAAACAGTGGACCATGATAGCCAAGCACCTGAAAGGGCGGTTAGGGAAGCAGTGCCGGGAACGCTGGCATAACCACCTGAACCCTGAGGTGAAGAAGTCTTCGTGGACAGAGGAGGAGGATCGTATAATTTTTGAGGCCCACAAGGTCCTGGGGAATCGCTGGGCAGAGATCGCCAAGCTGCTGCCTGGAAGGTAGGACCTCTTTGCCTTTTTGGTGCCTTCACAGCTAGGTGATCCGTGTGTTGGGCTCACAGGATGGGGCTGGAGAGGGTATAGGGGCTGTTGCTGTACTTTAAAGCTGATGTAAATGGTGATTTCTGCTTCCTTCTGCAGGACTGACAACGCTGTGAAGAATCACTGGAACTCCACCATCAAGCGGAAGGTGGACACGGGAGGCTTCCTCAATGAAACGAAAGAGTCCAAGTCGCTGTACGTCCTTGTGGAGGTGGATGAGAAGGAGAGTCAAAGTCAGACGAGGGCTGGAAGCCAGGTACTGTGCGAGCACACTTGCAGCAGGCAGCTGGGTCAGTCCCTTGCTCTGTTAATGCATACGGAGCTGTTCGACTGCCCTTCTGCTGCCTCTCGCGCTGCCCTTGCCAGAGCCTGGTATCTACAGAGACAGTGTGCCTTTCCCCAGCCTGCTCCAAGAGACTCACTCTTGGGGAGATCTCTTCCCCTTGAAGTTATAGATGTAATGAGAGCCTGACTGTGTTATCCAGGGGGAGGGCAGCAGCCTGCTACTTCTGTTATCTTGCCAATCCCAGCATCAGGTCTGTCTTGGAGACTGAAGGGTTTTTTTTCTCTCCATTGTGCTGTTGCTGGTGGGAGAAGGAGGCTGCTCCAGACTGTGTGGGACATGGTGAAGACATCTTGTGTTCCATTCCTCTAAAAAAAGAAGCAGAGGGAGTACATCCGATTATTTTTTTTCACTAAGAAAGCATGTAGTTCTCAAAAACAGCCACCTGGAAAGTAGGAAATGCAGAATTAGTGCTGCCTGCTTCTGCTCAGCCTTTGTTCAACTTTCTTGTGGAATAATGTTAAGTGAAACCTTCAGTTACATGGTCCTGTGTTTGTTGTGTTGCATGGGCTGCTGCTCAGATGGTGTCTGAGACAAAGCAGTGAGGGAGAACAGGAATGTGAAACAAACTGAACAGCAGGTAGGAGAGCAGTTGGAGATGAATGTGTCCAGGGACTCTTGCTCTTTGTCCTTGGGACTTGACATTGTTTCCTTGGTTTCTACTAACCTGAACTTTCTTTGTTGTGTGTGCAAAGAAGGTCCTGCCCAACTGGCCAATCGATACGTCTGAAATAAAGGAGGAGGACGTCAGCGATGAGGAGGTGACAGGTGTGCAGGAGTTACCCTCCGAGCTGCCAGCTGCTGAACTGGTGGAGCATATCACTGGGGAGACTCCAGGGGATGTGGTGCCTGAAGATGCCTCATTTGTCACGTCACCATACAAATGGGTCGTTGAAACTGCCAGCTATTTGTACCCAACGACATCTGTGCCAGCCTTCAATGAAGCTCTGGACATGATTGAGTCTGTAAGTAACAGACCCTTGCTCCTGCCGCTAATGTAGGGAGACTGATCCCCACCTCTTCCCGTGAGTGAACTTTTACTGGGTCTCCTTACTCATCGCTGTGGGCATCCCAAGGAGGACTGAGTCAGTCATTGCCTTGTGGCTTCCCACCCTGGATTAGGCTTTTCCAGATCTGCCATCATTGCTCTGGGCTCTTACGTGGCTTAGGTGGATGTCCTTGTGCATGGGCTCTGCTGGTGTGGGAGGCTGTAGGTGCTGGCAAAGCTGATCTCCAAGGCCTCCTTTATCAGCCAGAGTATCCCCAGCTCTTCATAACAGTTCAGGCCCGTGCTTATGGGCTTTCCTTTCCCTCCTGTTACTGGGTGGGATAGGACAGACTGGGAATAGGCCCAGGCCCACTTGTAGGATGCAGGACAGACTCCTTCACACTGGGATGATGCCACCATTGGCTTTCAGTGGAGGTAGCTTCGCTGAAACTAGTGATTTTGGGCCAGTCAAGCAGCAGTGGAGGCATGCCAGGGTGGGAGGCTGGCTAGAATCAACAGAGCACTTTGCTGCCATCAGAAGGGAAGTGTCACTGCAGCCCCCACCCTGCCTGAGGAGCTTATGAGCTGATTAACCGTGAAGGATCCACTTTGCATATGTATAGGAGGACAGAGAGTCTGTGCCCAGCGCTTAAATGCCCATCTGTGGGTCCTTAGGGGCCTGCTTGTGTAGTACTTGGGGTATTGGTGGCGTTGGGCTGTGAAGCAGCTGATCTTTGAACTGGTCCTGTTAGTTATTTTTAACCTGCTTTCAGCAGTGGGTGTCACAGCAGAACCCTGTGTCCAGCTGTACTGATGTGCCCGGGGCTCTGGTTTGGCGTTGGGTGACAGTCGCTTCATTCAGCTCCTGTTCCCAGCTGCTTTTTTTTGTCCCCTCTGTGGGGGTGCAGCTGTTTGTGCAGCTGCACCGTGAACTGAACTGGGAAACCAATCTTGCGTGAATGGAAAAATCTGCCCTATGCAAAAACAGCAGCTTTCAGCTGGGTCAGCTCCCTGGTCCCTCTGCAGCAGAGGAGAGGAGGGCTTGGGCTCTCCTCTAGCCAGGCTCTTAGCAAGAGTTGGTGCAATCTCATACACCCACGTCTTTCACCTCCCAGTTTATCTCTGCATCTGTACCAGTCAGCTGCTCAGCTTTCATTCCTGGGCTGCTTCTGAAACTTTTTCACCAAAGGGGTTGTCAAGCACTAGAAGAGGCTACCCAGGGAAATGATGGACTCACCATCCCTGGAGGGATTTAAAAGATGTGTAGATCTGGTGCTCGGGGACATGGTTTAATGGTGAACCTGGCACTGCTGGGTTAACAGTTGCACTCAATGATCTTAAACGTCTCTTCTGATCTAAACAGTTCTGTCATTCTGTGGTGCTTTCTCTTGTGTGCAGGACCCAGATGGGTGGTGTGATCTGACCCAGTTTGACCTGCCTGAGGAACCTTCTGCTGGCAGCAGCAGCAGCAGCAACAGCCCAGTGAGGCAAACCCCCAGCAAGCCAACGCCTTCGCTGCCCAGCGTGACTGAGTACCGCCTGGACGGCCACACCATCTCTGACCTCAGCAAGAGCAGCAAGGGGGAGCTCATCCCCATCTCTCCACACTCAGAGGTGAGCTTCGGCACGCCACCCTCTGTGCTGAAGAGGCAGAAGAAAAGGAAGGTTTCCCTCTCCCCCGTCACAGAGAACACCACCAGTACCAGCCTTTCCTTCCTCGACTCCTGCAACAGCATGACGCCCAAGAGCACCCCTGTCAAGACACTGCCCTTCTCTCCATCTCAGGTACGGAGCAAAGTGGGGCCTGGTCTGGGCTCCTCTGCTTGAGCTTAGTTGTGAGCTAATAAGGATCGGCATTAGCACTCTTTAAACTTGATTAATATCAGGTATTCCCATTGGCTCTGCCAGTTTGTGTTTCTCCTCCCTTGACTGAGGCAGTGCCAGTGTGCAGAGCATGTCTCTGGTAAAACAAGGTACAGAGCTGGGTTCTTGCACTGCTCATCTTCAGTCCTGCCCTTCCTGCAGGAGCAGCAGCCTGTGCCTGCCTCTGGGAGCTCCTGCAGCATCAGGGAAGCGTAGAGACCCTGAGTGATGGGCAGGCCACGTGCCCACTATGAGGAAAGAGCCACCACTATGTGCCTGCCCATTGCAGGATGGATGGGAGGGCATTGTGCTTCTGTCCCCAGGCTGCTGTTGCCCGAGCAGTGGGTAGCAGAGTGGCAACAGTGAAATGTGACTTTCCCTGTTCTATTCTAGTTAAGTCAGACCAGCAAGTTTTTAACTTGTACGCTGTTGTGTTGCATGGACTTCGCTCACAGTAGCCAGCTCAAGGTTGGAGTACACCTTTGGTGGGCTAACGTGACCTCTCCTTCACCATTTTGCTTGGCCTTATCTGGAGCAGTGCAAGGAGAGACTTCTACTCTGGAGCTGCTTGTAGTCGTATCAGCTCATCTCTTATGGGAAGTGAATAATCTTTGTAAGCATGAGGCACTTTGGCAACTTTCACATTTGTGACCATGCACAGGACTGTATGAGTCTGTAAGAGTTATCCTGGTTTATACTGGGACGTATTCCTCTTGTGCTACTTGTTATGAGAAGATTGTCCCTACTTAGGTGTTGCCCTGTATTTAGGAACAGTAATGACTTGCGATACTGTGCTGAGATGCTTGAGACTGAGTGTCTGTCTTTCTTTCCTGTGCTGTGCAGTTCTTAAACTTTTGGACCAAACAGGATACACTAGAACTGGAGAACCCTTCTCTGACCTCCACGCCTGTGTGCAGTCAGAAGGTGATTGTCACCACCCCTCTGCACAGGGACAAGACCCCTCTGCTCCAGAAGAACTCAGCGTAAGTCCTTTCCTACCCCATCCCCAGCTGGGCAGCGTCCTGTTTAACCCAGGGCCTGTGTCCCATTCACACACTACTGAGAGGCATAGGACAGGCTGGGGACTTCCTTAAATCAGTGTTTCCCCCCAAAGACCACTCCTCTCCAAGCTGTGGGCAACAAGTGTCCCATCTGTTTTCTCTGCAACCAAGCATCCTCTGTTGTGCTCAGCTGCTGGGCTGTCGCCTTGCATGCATGTCTTTGGGAATAATTGCTGTGCTGTGAGACCTGTGCCAGCAGGGAAGGGATTTGACTTCCAGAAAAAGAGCTGTTCAGCTCCATCCCCTTAGCTCTGTACCCTCTGCTTTGCCTGACCTGTTGGGCAGCCCAGGGTGATGATTACCCAAGGTGCTGTACAAGGCAGATGAGAAGGGATGTGCTGCACAGGGAGTGTTTTGCTGGTGGACTGAAGCAGCGCAGTATTTGGGGGTGTTTGCTGGGCTAGCAAAACCACTCTGGTGTTGGCACAGTCCAGAGCAGCTTCCCTGTTCAGGCGGGGTGAGCTGACTTGGCTGCTCTAACTGCATTTGCACCCAGGACTCCTGCTGTGACCAGCCCAGACTGGGCCTGAGCAGATCCACCAGCAGAAGCATTGCAGGGTGGGGTTGCTCTGCAGAGCTGTGTGGTACCGGTGTCAGGGCTCTGTACTCTGCCGGCTGACGAGAGAGCCTGGTAGCTGGCAGGGTGGAGCGGCATAGCTGGCATGTCTGAAAGATGTTTTCCGTGCTAAAGGCTCCCCTGTGCCTGTTTGTTCTGCTCATATCCCTGAAACAGTCCAGCCAGGCAGGTGGCTTCTGCTCTGGTGCTCTTCCACCATGAGACTCTGCAGGTAGCTTGTGTAACAAGAGGGTTTGGAAGGACAGTGGTGACTTTGTGTTACAGTGTGTCTGATCCTTTGTCTTTTCCAATCTCTGTTGCCAGGTTTGTCACACCAGATCAGAAGTACGTGGTAGACAACACTCCTCACACCCCCACGCCTTTCAAAAACGCCCTGGAGAAATATGGACCAATTAGGCCTCTGGTAAGGGTCGGGCAGGTCTGCAGCTCCCAGGTGACAGAGCACAGCGAATGCAAATGGAACATGGGGTGGGTTGCAGTGGAGATGTGAGTCAGTTGTTAGCTGTGTCATAAAGTACAGTTTGGTAGTGCCAGGCTGAGATGGGAAGGATGAAGGGCACCTTATCATGGCAAAAATACCTTGGTAAGTAGCCACAGGACTCTTAGCTCCTCTGTAAAGTAATAAAAAATGCCAGAAACTGCCCTTGAGTCAGGCTGCAGTGTCTGGCTACTGATGACCTTGAAGAAAAGCAAGGAAGTGATCTACTTAAGCCTCCCTGGGGAACTGGTGTGTTTGGGGTTCAACTGATAAGAATCTCTTACGCCTGGAGATCCTGTAAATCTGTCAAGCAAGCAGAAATCTTGTCATATCTTTTCCAATCAGGAAGCAAATAAGCCACCTTTGTGTTGGGACTCCCACTGTGGGCTCCCCTGTCTCTATTATCCCTTGAGGGAAATACTCATGAGTCTTTCTGGCATACAAATTTTGATTGTCTTGTGCTCTCTCTCCTCCTCTTCATGTCAGCCCCAGACTCCTCACCTGGAAGAAGACTTGAAAGAAGTGCTCCGAAGTGAAGCTGGCATCGAACTTATCATAGAGGATGATGTAAAGCCTGAGAAACAGAAGAGGAAACAAGGAGTGAGCTGATTTTGCATCTAGAACCTTCTCATGAGCTGTCGTGTTCTTGAGGGGTGTTTCGGCCGGTTTTGTTCATCCAGCTGTTGATGCTGAAGGTTTTGGCCCATGGCTGCTGCCTTTTGAACAACAAGAAGTGCCTGATGTTAAGGCCTGCTTAAAATATGGCCAACTGTGTCCTGGTATATGCCGAACCCCTTAGGATGGGTGTTCACCGGGTTGATTCGTGCCGACACTTGTTTTTCTGTGTCCCCCAGTTGCGCAGGAGTCCCATCAAGAAGGTGCGCAAGTCTCTGGCCCTGGATATTGTGGATGAAGACACGACGCAAAACGTGCCTGCCCTCCCCAAGACTGTCTGTTTCAAAAGAGCGCAGGTGAGGGATGCTGTGCTCAGAGAGGGAGTAGAGTCGGCTTCTGCTCAGAGAAACCTTATGTGGAGCAGTGGAGGGAGCTTTGCCACCTTTGAACAGTCTGTGTGAATGTTGTTGAAGGGCTGGGTTGTTGGCTGGCCTTTAGTCCCGGCCAGGTGTCAGCACTGTTAAGACAGATTAAATTGTATCCTTACAGTTTGCTCTTTTATTCCCCATCTTTGCAGCCTGTGAATTTCCTGTCGAGGTCCCTGAACCTTTCCTCCTCAAGCAGGAAGAATGACAGTGGTTTGCTCAACAGAGCCTTTGTGCAAGTGCAGCCAGAGAAAATGTCCTACAGGAAAATGCCGAGCCATTTCAGACCACCAGCACCGGTAAGCTCTGCAGCCTCTGCTTTTCCAGTCTGGTTAGCTGCTAGAGCAGCCCTTATCCCTGCTTGGGAGGAGGAGGAGCAGCAGTGAGGGGATGAAGCTCTGTGCGTTCTGCATAGGTATCCAACACTGTCAGGGCTGTCTTTGCACCAAGGGTTGGAGGTGCTGAGCCAGCAGTATCATGCTGCAGCTTCCTTCTATCTCTTGCAAACCTGCCCTTATGCCGAGGCTCAAATCCCTGTGATCAGAGCCGTGGGCTGCTTTAGCGTGTTGAGCCTTGGATTTCCTCATGGGAATCCTCATCCTGTCCCAAGCCATCAGGAAATTTGGATGACTGATCCAACAGTGAGGTAAACTTTCCTTTTTTCAGTGAGCACTGCTTGGGTGGACAGCAATAGGCTCATGTGTTTTGTTTCTCTGGGCATAGCCTGTGAAATGGTGTATAAATGCTAAAAAAAAGGTTATTTCCCATCCCTGTGACTTTTGGGGCATTGCTGGGTGGTGGTGAAGGCTGTGTGCCAGAGGCAGCATAGGCTGCTTTATCCTGCCATTTACCTGAACCCATGGCCCTGCAGAGCTCCAGCTGGCAGTGCCACCTTGTAGCTTGTGCTGGGGTTTGTGCTGTTCCAGCTCCTGTGCTCCTTGGCTCCTCATGGTTGTATCTGTGTTGTGCTTGAGTAACAGCAGCCTACAAATGCCCTTTGGGGCATAAGCAGTTTCTTGTGCTCTTTAAAACCTTTGCCACTTGGTATATTTGCAGGCAGAATGCATTAGAAGAGGGGTGTCCTTGCTTTGTTAGGCAGCATGGCTTGGAGAAGGGGATTTGGACCGTGATTGGGCAGGTGCTTGCTTGAGCCAAGCCATGGGAGCTCTCTGGTAGCTTGAATGTGGATAGAAATACTGGCTTTCCTTGGTGGGGAGTGAAACTGCAACTGGGGGTTAGTGTGGGGGTGTTTTCACATCCCAGGAAGAGCTGAGGCACAGTATTGTCTTCACTGAGCAGCCTTGGCTCAGTCTTCCTGAGACACTGCAGGGAGGGGTTTTGCATCTGTCCCTGATTATAGCTGTCTGTTCTGAAAGCTCTTTTTTCTGATTAAGTACTTCTTGGCCAGAGTAATTCCTTCCCCTTCTCAACATAAACCCTACTTAAACACTTCCATTTCTCCTCCTGTCCTAGGCAGAGTCATATTGCTCTGAGAGCTGATAGATCTGTATAAATTAAGCTTCAGGAGTGACAGTGAGGCAGCTTATGCAGTGACAGAGCACAGATGTGCCATGAAATCCCGTTGCCCAAAGCCAGTGGAGCTGTCTGTGCTGTTGTTGGGCTCTCAGGATTTATTGTGCTGGACTGGTGTTGTAAGCAGTGGCAATTATTTGTTAGGGAAGCTCACTTTGCTGTGAGCTGAAGCTAGGTCAGCCTCAAAGCCACACCGTAGCTCTGAGGGATGTTGTTGCTGTAAGCAAGTGCTGAAACTCAAGCTTTGGTTCTTTTACAGTGCGTGTAAATGAGTATTTCCAGTTCAGGGCATTGTGTGTCTCTTGGTTGTTTATCAGAGGATTTGCAGGGTTTTCCTGGAGTGCAGAAACACCTCAAAATCACCACAGTCACCCTTTCTGCCTGCGGGGGCTGAAGCACATTTGATTTCCAGCTCTTCTTGTGTGCTGTGGGGCCCTGCTGAAACCAAAGGAACCAAATCACTGTTAAGGGTGGTCTTTGACCAATCTGGGCTTGAGGTTGCACAGCTCCTGTGAGAATGACACTGGTTGGGAATAAATCCCAAAGCTGTTGTAGAATTCCTTCCCATCCTCTGCAGTTTCTTCAGCACAAGGAGTCTTAGTGGGTTCATGCTTTGAGGTTTTTGTCTCAAGCCAAGTAAGGCAAAGCCCTGAAAAGACACGTGGGTTTTCCCGAGATGGAGCATTCCCCTGGGAAACTGTCGAAGGTAATGCTCTACTCTCCTAGAAACAACTGTCTCAGCTGAGATGAGTAACTGGTGGCGTGTAAGTTCCTTCTGGTTGCAAGATGGGTGCTCATAATTCTATAAGTTTTATTACTCTTGAGTTGCAGATAGTTGTTAATTTTATTTAATTGAAAAAACAAACAAACCAACCCCAGCCTGTCGACAGTGTGTTTGTCCTCTCCCTTAACTGTGTTGTACATGTACTTTCTTTTCGCTCTGTAGATGACCAGGGCTTGGAAAGCTGTAGCCTGTGGTGGAACCCGAGACCAACTCTTCATGCAGGAGAAAGCTCGACAATTTTTGGGCATGTTGAAACAGAGTCACACATCAAGGACGTTAATCTTATCATGAAGGATTCTTCTGCTTTTTTATTTTATTTTTTAATATTTTTTTTATAAGTGGAGGGGAGAGAGAACCACAGAAAAGAATAACCTCTGCCATGCCTTGGTGTATGGGAGTGGCTTTTTTTTTTTCTTCTCTTCCTGGGTAGATCTATATTGTAATAAATGGGGCTAACTGCTGCCTAATGTGTGGAATGCAAGCTTTGGGATTGCTACAAAAAGGCAAAAAGAGGGAGGGTTGGAGAATTAACAGCAAGCCCTCTTTCTGCAAGACCTGGGTTCTGCAAAAGCAGATGCACAGGGCCTTGTTCCACCGTGTCCAGCGAGCTGTGAGACCACCCTCCCAACCTGCCTGGATTTGGTGCTAGCCGCTCTGGCAACTCAGGAATGGCTTTTGAAAGGTTCCCACACATCTTGTGTCTCCTCTTCTGGCTTTCCCTGGGGGCTGGAGTGGTTCTCCTTTGCTCTGGCAGGAGGGAGGAGGGTGTTGCTCCTGGGACACATGTTTCGGGGTGACCCATGTTCGAGCTGGCCCCTGGCTCCCCGGGGGCTGTTCCGTACTGTTATGCTGCAGAAGGGGAGCGGTGGGCGCCTCTTCCAATAAACGATGGTGCTAACATCACTCTCTCCCTCCGACTCTGACTGCCTGGGGCCTCGCAGCGCGTGGAGGGAGGTGGCGCCGTGCTGGGGGGGAGAGATACAGCGAAGCGCCCATTTGGATGCGGCATCTTCTCTCTCCTGGCAAGCTGCTGAGTTCCTGTTAGCCTCTGAGTGTGGGGAAGAAGGGATGGCTTCCCCCATGCCTGCCCTTAGTAGTTTTATCAGCTGTTTAGAAGTGATTTTTGGCTGCTTTCCTGGGAAGCTTCCCCCATGTGTTTGAGCATCGTGTGGCTGGGAACTCTGCAAAGCTGCAGGAGTGGTGGGAGGCTGCAGAGAGCCACGGGCTGGAGAAGAGCAGCGGGAGCGTGTGTTGTGGCAAAGCCTCTTCTGTCCTTCCTTTGGATGCCAAAGCTGCACCCACGTTGCTCTTCCTGTGCGGTAGCGTGGGGTCCTGTTTTGACACAGCCAGGGGTGAAACGTGGCAATTGTAGCAACGCCTCGACTCGTTGGAATTGGAAAGGTGCTGGAAAAACTGCAGAGGGACTGGCTGGTTAGAGCAGGGTGTGACCCCCTCTGCGGGTGAGCTCCACTGGGGGTTGTGCAGGGATGTGCTGTCCTTTGCCAGCCACCAACGCTGTCGTGGCAGATCCCCCTCTGGTTTGGGGGTGGCTGTGCAGCAAAGATGTGGGGAGTGGGAGGTCCCTTTAGCCCTGTGCCTCTTAACTGTCCTCAAGTCCCTTTGCAGAGTGGAAAAACAGAGCAGGGCTCTATAAATCTCAATTCAGGTTGTGGCTAACGTTGGAAACAGAGGCAGAAATCCTTACTGACAAACTTGTTAATAAAACCTTAGATCCTGGGAAGCGAGGGATTTTTAGAAACCCAGCTCATTTTTCATTTCTACAAGCTTGGGGCCAAAGCAAATCCATGAAGTCTTTTTTATTTCTGTTTCTCAGTGCTGCAATGTTTGCTTCGGGAAGACGGCTGGGACCACTTGTCTGAAAGCCTGGCTTTAGCTGCTTCCATTCTGGTGTTATTTTAAGAGAAATCATCATAAAACCATCCCTCTCTGCTCAGGCTTTAGTGGACCTGGACTTTATAAAACTGAGCCCCAAATTGCATTTTCTTCCTGGAGGTGATGTGAGCTGGGAGTCCTGAGCAGGCAGGGTGTGCTGGAGAATAAATCCGTGTGAGCCTGGCTCGGGTGGTTGAGAGCTGCCCCTAAATTAAAGGATTATGAGGCTGAGAAGTATTAACTGCTGCTCGGATGCTGTAAATCCAGATAGCACCGGTGTCCTGCATTGCAGAGTGCTTATTAAGAAAGACTGAGGGGCAGAAAATTAGCAAGGAAAATGAGTAAGACCTAGCATAGTTAATGAGTGAAAAGACAATTTGCTTTTAATTGGAAAATGGAGCTCCTCTTGGTGTGGGTGTCACCAGCCTGGCTTGGCTGGCCTGGGGCTCAGGAATAGGCACCGCTCTGCAGGTGGAGGTAAAAAAAAGGTTGCACTTACTTCGTAGGGGAGCCTACCTGGGCTGCAGGTGTGCTGCACTGGGGTGGAAAAAAAAAAAAAAGCATTTCCAGTTGGTGGCTAAGTTGGAGTTGGTTACACCTCAGTGATGTTTCAGGAGCTTTGGTGCAGGAGGAGAGGCTGCCTTAGGCTCTGTGTTGGACCCTGTGATGGGTGCAAGGGGGTACTGAGGTTGGGGTGGGCATCCAGGGTTTCCTCTTTGCCAAAAAAGCCCGCTTTGGCCCTGGTGATTGCTCAAAGCAGCAAAGCGCCTCCTCTCCTGCCTTTGCTTCTGGTATTTATTGAGCAGTTGCTAAGCAATAACCTTGCCAAATTTTCTATGTGCATTTTTTTTTTGACACTAACCTGCAGGTTTAGAGGTTTAGGAAATTAAAAGGACAATTTTAGCCTGGTAGATATATGCTGAGGATTAGCTGAGTAGCTCCTGGATTTTGCAAGAGATGGACACCACTTGGGTTAAGTGCTGGCTGCATGTTCAGGAAACTAATTGTCCTTTGGAAACTTAAAATCCTCCTATCCTCCTGTTTCTGCAGTGAGGCAACTGCAGTTCTTCATCTCTGCCAGTACAGAATAATGAAAGATGAAAATATGGTATGAGGTCAGGGAAAAACATATTGCTGTGAAACCAAAGGGGTCACAGTGAGGAAATGAATGTTTCCATTTGGGAAACGTCAGAAAAAAGAAATTTCAGGGAGTTAAAATCCCTGTTGTGAAAAGACTTATGAGAACTGCCCAGAGATCAAGCACAAGCTCATCTCCCCTTGCCATGGGCAGCGCCTGCCTTGTCAGCCCATAGCTGGCATTGGTCAAACCCATCACCTGAATCATACATGATCTAGTGACCTAACAGCTCCTGAAAAGCAAATTTAAAAGTTCATAGGGGTTTTTAGTTGTAAATGCATTAGTTCTTTTGTATGTGATGGAGTTTTTAAATTTTATTTTCAAAATACTAAAGAAATGTTGTAGGTAAATAAATGGAAATTGCATTGCCAATTCCCATAGGTTGATGGTTTGGGTTTGGGTTTTTTTGTTAATGTTTTGCGGTTTTGTGTGTGTATGTGCGTGTTCAGTTTTGGAAGTCTCACTCAAAGCTTTGGCTTCAGGTGAGATAGCCAGTCCAGGGAAAGCGATGCCTTGCATCAATTTTTATACAGTGATGCTTTTTAAGTTGTAATTTTAAAATTATTATTTTTTATAGGGCACCGAGCCTGTCCATTGGAAAGGGAGAGCCTAGCACCCAGCCGTGCTTCGGGCAAAGCCCCGAGGCAGCATCTCTCTTTGGGAGGGAAGATGCTCAAGATGCTCCAGCATGTGGTTGCATCGATGTTCCTCACCCTCCGGGTGAGCAGAGTCGAGTGCAAAACAAGCTGGAGTGCACAGTCTGGTGCGTAAAACTGTGGCGTTTGGTTTGGTTTTGTTTTTATTACAATCCTGTGTTTGCAAAGCCCTCCCAGCAGCGGGGACGGTGCTGCAAGTTGCCTCCATCCAGGGAGGCTGCTGGTCTACGAACTCCGCTGCGGAGTTGGAATCTGCAGCCCTATAAAGATAAAGCCTGTTATCTGTAATTGTGCAGCAGGTAATGGATGCCAAAATTGGTGTCAGATCTGCCCAAAAGGACTAGATAAGGGGAAGAAAAGGTAGTAATAATTTGAGATTCAATTCTGCTGATGTACTTGTCTGTTCCCGAGGTTAGTGTAAATCGAGGTTTGAATTAAGCTAAACCAGTCCCAGTTAATGTCTAAATCTGCCATTTCTCAGGCCCTGCAGAAGCAGACAAACACAAAATCGATATTTGCTCTAACTGTTGCAAAGTTTTCTTTATGGATTAATTTCCACCCAATAATCGCTACAGCTTCTCCGGAGCCTTCCCAGCCCTGGGACCGTGTCCTGCGCCCACGGCTTCTCCTGCTTGGCCACCCTGGGAGCTCAGTGGCAGAGAGAGGGTGTGAAAAGCCTTCCTTACCCCATGCTGCAGCTTAAATCCTTCCTACAAAACCAACCTAGGGCGAGCACACACACAGCATCCTTCCCTTGCAAGGAAGAAAATATTTTATTTTTTTTCCCCCTCCCTTGATGTGGAGCATCTTTCTTTAGAAGACTTGTCATCACCACCAACCTCGCTGAGGAAATGCAGCCGGATTAATACTCAGATTTACACACTGGACCCACATTGAGCCAGGAGCTCGTTTTATCCCTTTATATTAGTTTCTGCTCCGAAGGCTTGTTCTTGGCTCCTGCCACTAAGCGGGAGTGTTGCCCCGCCACAGAGCCGGTCGCCTGCCCGCTGCCTGCGCATCCTCCCTGGGCAGTGGGAAAGGCAAAAGGCAGGACTCACCACAGCATCACCCAGGGGAGGGCAGACACCCCCCTGTGGGAAATTTGAGTCACCACCCAAATTTCATACCTATCTTGGGCGATAAGGGCAAGTACCGTCCTTCCTTTGCAACCCAGTGGGCTTGACAATGTGAACTGAAAGGTACTGGTTGGCCTGAGGACAGATGCTGATGGAGAGTGTGAAGAGGGTGCAGGCAGGTGGATGAACTCTCTGCAGGCTGGTGAAATGGACTTTCCTGCTACAGGAATGAGTGGATCGAGAAGAGAAGAAATGCTCCAGAGTTTGCTGTGGAAGTTGTCCCTCCTCACCTGGAGAAGGGAGTTAAAAATAGGGCTCAGCGACTTGTTACAGCAGGGCAGTTCGAGATCTCTGCTTCTGGGCACTTTCATATGGTCTGATGCTTGTGTCATAATTTACATGTTCAAGTCGACCTCAAGGTTATTCCCCTGCCCCGTGAGTTATATCTAATTGAACTTGTGAAAAACGTGTGAGTC